ACACACACACACACACACACACACACACACACACACACACACACACAGACAGATGAGGGTTTTTTTTGCATTTTAATTGTTTAAATTTTTCCTTTCACCTCGTGTGCGGAATTTTAAATTATGAGTTTTTTATTTTTATTTTTTATAGAGTGGTTTCTCCTTTTATTAATTTATTCACGCATTTTCCACGGTCCCCGACTCGCGTTTTAATCCTAGTTTTATTTGCCAATTCCGTCCGTTTAAGGGGTCCCTCAATTCCCCAGCCCGACGTCTGCTGAGCTCACGTGACCCAGTCTACGTTTAACTACCGGCCCGTCGACCGATAGGAGGCGCGCTACTGCAGAGATACTACTAGGATTTTTTTTCTTCCCTTATTTCTGTTTTTTGGCCTTAGTCTTTTTTTTTCTTATCTCTTATCTTCAATTTTCTCTTTGACCTTAGTCTTAGCGCTCTCTCTTTCTTATTTGTACTCTCTTATCCTATATTATGCACACTTTAAGCTCCGTGCTCAATGCCTCTAGTTATTATATTAACATTAGCTTCTATTTCTCCTTTATTTCAGGAGACAGAACACACCATGCCCATCCAGAGGCTCAATTTGGTTTACGGCTGAATAGCGGAGTTTTTGGGCCTTTCTGCCAACTTAGGTAACCCGCTTACCTGTTTAATGTGAGGCGCCTCTCTGGATGAGAACAGTCGCTCCGCTCATGCGTCGAATCTCACCGCTCCTCGTGTGCTCGTAGATCATCACGTCGGGGTCACCATTTGAAGGGTTTGGGGTGTTCAAAATGACCCGAGCACAGAATTTCTGGAGCACTTCACCTTAGTATTAAAGATTTAATTGAGACAAAGTTAAAGTTTGTAGATATTACATGTAATCAGAATGCAGTCTGAGGAACAAGTCAGAGCGAACCTTGCCTGGTCAATCAGCCTGGTTTGTTCAACCAAACTTTGTGTCTGAGCGAGATTTATAGGTTTGTCATGTCCCGCCCTTTCGGGTTCGGACAAACTTGTGATTGGATGTCAAACCCTCTTGATGGTCCGAGTGACACCATGTTCAGCCACTCAAGAGCAGATTTTATCTCCATGGTAACTCCATGGTAACTCCGAAGGCCGCAGACAGCCTTCGGCTCATTCTGCTACTGATAAGGGTTGATTTACAAGCTTTGTTTTGGAACGCAAGACACTTACTCTGGCTTTCGTCTGTATAGAGTTTTAAAACACGTTTTCTGTGTGACTGAACTATTATTAGTGTGAGAGCATAAATACTCAACCTATGTTAAGTATAAAGTATATGAATGTTGTGATTTAGCATTATTTATGTTAATCAATGTGTGAGCAGTGTGTATCCTCAGCACTTGTGAGATTATATATAACATGAAGTAATTAGTGTATGATTATCCTTAGCACTTGTGAGATTATATATAACATGAAGTAATTAGTGTATGATTATCCTTAGCACTTGTGAGATTACATATAACATGAAGTAATTAGTGTATGATTATACTTAGCACTTGTGAGATTATATATAACATGAAGTAATTAGTGTATGCGCACACGCACACACCTTGTAGAAAATGCTTCATTTCACATCATCAGAGAAATGTCAAGGCTTGTCAAAAGATATAA